GCATTGGACCTTATGTGGACCTTATTGCTCCATTTCCCATTCAAAGGAAAGCAGGCACTTCCTTGTGTTTTAGCATTTTGCATCAACATGTAATGTTGTGTCGAGAGGGAACAGAAAGTTTCTTACCTAAGTTGACTATGTAACAAGATCCTGTTCCTGAGCGCACGCCTGTATACAATCAAATGAAAAACCACCACACCTGTAGTACTATTATCTTGAAGAATCCCTTGCTCACAACCAAACGCCACCTCACCAGTGCTTGATAGTGTAGAAAAGGTGAATAAAAGAGAAACAATATGTGGCCAATACAGCAACTTCAGTCACTGTTGGTGCAAAGCTGGTAGAACCTTAAACCAAAAGAGGCTGATAATATAGTAAAATTCAGCTCTACGTAGTTGTGACTTGGAAAAAATCCTATTACAATACATGAAACTTTTCCATTATAACATAAGTTTTAGATTCTTTAAATAAATGGCACAAAAAAAAAAAATTCTGTGAAACAGATGACAAATATGTGCATAACTTTTATGCGTCCTTTTGTGGGTGGAAGTCCATGCTCAAAGAAGAACATTTCCAGTGTCTTTGACCCTGTCCTGTCCTTGACTCCCCATTGGAGGTGCACCTTGAGAAGACCACCATGTGACGCCAATGATTCTGCACACATAAACACACCAAGTAGTCATCTAGATACAAACCCATGTACACATATATACATGACAACAGCCCCTCAAGGCTCGGCGTTCTCAAGGCTATCAGAGGAGTGAGGGTGGCTGATGTTTGCTCAGCTTTGAGGCCCCTTTCCCGTCCCAACAGTCTCCAAAGCACAGACCTTACAAGAGATAGACCTAAGGAGATGAAATATACCATGGGAACACACAAGGCTGTTAGGGATAAGAAAATAAAACCATTAAGAATGAATTAAATTTAGGAACCACTCTTGTCACTTGCTTTGTTTTTGTGGTGGTTTGACTCTTCAGCCATGGCACAGTCTTATCAGTGCTAAGGGGGGCAGGGGACAAGAATTGTGAGGGGTACCAAGAGAGGGGACATGGGTTGTGTTTGCTTAAAGTGACAGTGTGGGCCAAGGGCTTATCAAGGCCTTTGTAGATTATTGATTGGAACAGATACGTGAGGTACATGAGCCTGTACGTACCTGAGTATGTTGGAGGTTTAGAAAATTTGGGCTCAACTCAATAAATATACAAAAGTCCTATTGAAGTATGCTTTCGTGTGAAGTTGTACATTTTCCGGCAACACAGAAACACTGGATAAGAATATTAAATAACTTCCAACATTCCAAACTGATGCAAATAGAGGAATATAAAGGATGGAAAGTGCTGGTATTCCCAGGCTTGATTGGAGTTAGGAATTAACCTGGTTGTAGCAAAGGGCTTATGTTGTGTCCATGCATTTCATCCTTCAAGGCAACAGCTTGCTAGCATACACACTCACTTGTGTACTCTCACACACACACAGCCTTATCTTCCAGGGTCTTGTCTTGTTTGGCTAACACTGTGCAAATAGAAGGTGCAATACATCTCCTGACAGTTCCCAAAAGCAAAAGGGAGAAACACGTTGGTCAAACAAACAGCCAACCCTGAGTCACAGGGAGAAAGGAGATTTCTCAGGCTTTAATGAAACACAGACACACAGACATGTGTATCTCTACACTTAGTGTGTAACAGTAGCCTGAATTTGAAGGCTTTGGGGCCTCTGGCTACCTTTTTAAACGTTTGTCTAAGCAGTCTTAAGACGGGAGCTGCTGCTGCTGGAGTGAATAGCTCCCAGCAAGCTATCCACAGGCTCCCTTTGTCCTCTGTCATATTTTATTATCTCATCAAAAAGCAGGAAATCCGATTCCCTCTCTCTGAAAAAGAGCTTATCCCTCTGTCTCAAAGCAACCTGTCACGAGAGGGAAAGATGGAGAGAATGGGGGAGAGTTGTTGGGCCGAGGGGGAAACTGTGTAAAGGAGTGATTAACTGCCTCATTGCTATCAAACCCACTTTTCTTTTTTTTCTGACTTGCTTTGGTCCGTCCCTCTTGATTGGTATTTATCCAAAACGGAAAACAATGCAAGGGGTTAGGGAGGCACAGATTTATCACCTTTTCAGATTCTTTTATCAGTCTTTATCCTTATGTTTCTTTCTTTTATATAAAGGTACATGAGGTAATAAACTATAAGACACCTGGTTTCAGGATATATTATTAGGATAAAGATATATATTTCTTAGTAAGGTCTGGATCGCATGTCCTTATATCTGTGTTTAATGAGTGTTTTAATCCAATACTTTTCTCAATGTTTCTGTAAAGGAAATATCGCATTCATTTTCCTAATGGAAATGCTGTAATTAGCCATGGTTGGTATCTACACTTACACTTACATCTTTGAAATATAAAAAGGATTGTTAGTTTGAAGCAGTTCTAGTCATTTTACACCATTCAGATAAAAAAAAAAAATGCTTGACGTGCGCCACTTTGCACTTTCCCTTATTTCTTAAACTTAAATTTTTTATTTCATTCGAAGAGTCATTTCATGAGATAGAGAGAGACAGGAAAGTATGTTTTCTAGTTAATAATTATTTTTTTTATCTTGTACAGATGTTTTCGAAAAGAGTCTTTGTGACAAAAAACGTTGTGTTAATGCAGCATCACCTCTGTCACCTTGTTTGCCTTTTCCAGGCATTGCTGCCATCACCAGAGAAACTCTCTACCATTTATTGCCTCTCCTTCTATTGCATCTGTGTTTTAATTTTGGGCTCTGCTGAGAAGTTGTTAAAAAGCCCTATGAAATATGTATGAAGGATTGTGAGCCACGCGATTGGCCCCATTTATCGGACAGCAGAGCAAATGAACAGCCACACTGGATAATCCCCCACAATGCCCGTGGAACAAAGGCCCAACAGCTGACCCTAGAGAGAAAAATGGAGACGGGGGGAGACTTTGGTAGGCGAGGGGAGTGCTGCAAACAGTTAGGGCTCACTGGTGGTCAGGGGCCAATTCGCTCATATGCGCCTCACATGTAGTGGCAAAACAAAGGCTTGTGGGACAGGAATAACTCGCCTTGTTCTGTTGTTCCACACTCTCTCCTTAGACTCTTCTCAGCCCCTCCTTCCCTCACCATCTCTCCCTCCCCCTCTAGCAGTCAAGAGGATCTGAAATACCAATACCCTTTTCTCCTTGACATTGCTTTCTCCTTGCAGTCAGCGTTTTGCTGTCCTTTTATAGTCAAAACGTCAGGAGAAATTCCATGCAGGAATATTCTTAGTAATGCAGCACTGCCTGCATCCAGCGGCCAGGGCGCTGCGCTCCTTTTGCCAGTCAGCGGAGTCTATGGGGAAAAGCACGCACAGGCAGTCCCACAAACTTGCCGTAGCACACGCATTAACTTGCCCTCGTGCCAGGGTTATTGTGCCAGTATTTCAGAAGCGACAAACAGCCCAAACAATGAATTATATCCTCTTCTACTCCTCTGGATGGGGGATTTAATATTTAGGGAATTGGGTTATAGCATCCAAGCTCCTTATTCATGACTCACCTTTTCACTTCCACATAAAAACATACACACCGCACGCCATTCATCACCCAGGGAGTGGGGGGCTGCTGTCCCATGTGTGTCGGTGTGAATAAAAGCCTGCATGTGTGTGTTCATCGTGTGTGTCCACTAACCTTGCTGTGTCCTGACACTCCTGATGAGTATCTGCAGGACACTAGGAGAGGAGCGCGCATTGTCAGGCGTTTAGGCAAGCTACTTCTGTATCTATACGTGTGTGTGTGAGGCAGGGAGTGCAATATGTGTCTGCGTGTATCAAGAGAGGCGGGCAGGGAGAGAGTCAGCACTATCCAAGCAGGTGACCCCTGAAGGCTGCATTGCCCTGAGCTCTAAGTCGAGGAAAGAGCCAAATACACCAGGGTAGCTAAAGTGTGTGTGTCACCATACAGGATGTGTCATCTCCTTGGCACAAGGAGGTGTGTGTGCTGGTGTGTGTGCTCACGCCTGCATAAGTGTGTGTGTGTGACAGAGTGTTGGCTTGGGGGAAGGTGTCACAGATCTATGCCAGACTAATCATCTCCGCGGTGTCGGTGAGCACTGCTGTCAGGGACACTAAAGAGGCAGCGTGTCTCCCCGTTCCCAGAGCATTTAGTACTTCCTCTTTCGCCAGCACCTCTCTGTCGCTATTCAAGTCCTCTCTGCTCTCTTGGTTGGTCACAGGTTTGCAGCGAAAACCATAAACATGTCACATGTGCCATGTTACTGCAGTGGGGGTGGGGAAAGAGAAGTGTGATGAACCTGAGAATACATAAGAAATTACTTTTTCTCAGGCCGCCACCTCAGTCGCAGTTTAAGGAAGTACATAAAGGAGATTTATGGTTTTATATCCAGAGTGGTAATATCAACATACTCTACATTTGAGAAAGATTTTTAATATACACCAGCATTGAAAAGTGATAACTCTGGACTGTTGGGTAACTTTGAACATTTTGACATCTTAAAACAAACTACTTAAGTGTTTAAAAAACTGTCCTTTATAAAAAGGTGACAATTAGAAAGGTACTGTATATAAAGTGTTGTTGAAACCTTTTGAAAGAGGGTACTCTGTTCACATTAGACTGACACGTACCTGTTTGGCTGCCATGCATAATGCCATGTGTAAGACAAGCTAATTTTTGGAGCATCAAATGTAATGCTGCGCTTCGGCATAGATAAAGATGCTGGTCAAAGTTCAGGGAAGGATGAGTCAAGGCAAAAGCAAGGCAATCTGGAAAAAAAACAACAGTGAAACATTAGAGGGTAAAATAGACTTGAAGAATTTAACTTCCCGCAGGATTACAATACTTTTACTATTCCAAAGTTAGAATAAATGTAATTCCATTGATAAATGGCCAAGTCCAGATCTGAATTCTATTGATAATCTGTTTCAAAAAGCACAGCTGGAATGGACACAAAAAACTGTTCTAAAGGCTAAATACAGATGTTTCCTTCCTCTTTTTGTCCCTGAAGGTCCCCGATCGCTTCCTGGAAGTGGCCGAGATTACACTGCGGGAGTTCTTCAATGCCATTGTGGCCGGCAAAGATGTGGACCCATCTTGGAAAAAGGCCATCTACAAGGTCATCTGCAAACTGGACAGCGAGGTCCCAGAGATCTTCAAGTCCCCAAACTGTCTTCAAGAGCTTCTACATGAGTAAATTTCCTCCGACACCAACTCTGCTCATCTCTTTGCGCTTCTTTTGTTCGTTGACTTTGATTTAATTGAGTTTTAAAATAATTTCCCCCTAGTTCTATTTTTTTTTTTTCCGACTAACTATTTGATTTTTCTGTTCTCTTATTATTATTTTTGAATGTATAAAAGTTATGGAGTAGCATTCCCAATCTAAAGCCTCTGTGGCACTTCCTAAATGATCTAGGTATTGTGTTGTTGTTTATATATTATTATGGTTACTATATGTTTCATTTTTCTAACATTCTGAAGTGGAAAGACTTTTATTATTGGGTGTTTTGGACTGTGTGAGACCCTCACCTGTTTGGCCCATTTTATGAACAATGCTACCTGAGTGTGTGGAGTTGCTTTCCATTTATGCTACAAGTGCAGGCAAGGTATACTGAGAAACTTTACCCCTAAAATTTTGGGGGCCGCCTGTTCCCTGCTTAATGCAAAATGGACGTCCGTTAGACTTTGCTTTATAAGATGTCACCAAGAGGACACACACATGCACACAAAATCGAGGCCTAGCGTTGTTATGGACTAAAACTGGACTCGTGTTACTTTTCAGCACTGGTCTGCAGGATTTGGACTGGTCTCAAAGGACTATTGAGTTAACTTTTTGAAGTGTATTTTCCCTGAAAAGCAGGGGATTGTGTTTATTGGGTGTACAATATTATTTTGATTAATATTCTTATTGTTGTTTATGATTATTTGTCGTTTCTGCTTGCTGAAGATTGGCACCTCAAGATATGTTTGTCCCTTGATGCCGTTGCAGAAAATAATAAATTATTATTATTGATATTATTTCATGCGCTTTTAGATTCCTGAATATTTTCTCCTTCATACTGCCCACATCCTCTTTTCTAAATAAGTTTCTTAATAAGGGCCATAATTTTAGGCTTTGTAATTTACTTTGCATTAAGAAAAGGTCTTGGTTAATAAATCTGCAACACTGCATCTGAAATGGTTGCAGTAATATTTAGTTCAGAAATGTAGAAGAGAACAGAAAGAGAAAGTAAACAAATTGCATTTGTATTTTTATTTTAACAAACATCCAGAAGCTCAACCACAAAGTGCACAATTATTCATACAGTATATCTGCAAACTACTTATTCTATTTGTTTAGAACAGCGCACCGCATGTCTTTTCCATCTTTTTTCACTAACCAACTTTGATAATGTGAAGGCTATTTACTATTAGGGTTTTATTCTGATATGCTTATATGAATAAAACTGACAAAGTTACCTTATATGCAGATGATACTTGAATATGTGAGGATCATTCAGAGATTTAAAATCCATCTTGAAGCAGCACACAGACTCACATACATATGTACTGTACACACAGACCAAGCATAACTCTTTGACCAATTGTTTGATACTATTAACATCAATAACAGCATTTTTCAACCCTGCTCCATGAAGAAGACTGTCCTGTTTTTTTTTCCTCTGCTAAAACACGTCCAATTCAGATAAGCGCTGTTTAGGGAAGCCTGTTAATCAGCGAAAAATGGAAAAAATTAAAAATATTCAAGATAATGTGCCTTAAAGGTATAGTGGAGGTTGCTCTTTTTCTGGGTAGATCATCAAAATAAGTGGTCCTCCTAATTGTCAATCATTCTGGTGATGTATTACGTAAGGCCGTCCTATGTGCTCGTCCCCATTTTCAGTTACTGGTGTTGAGTCTGACATAGTGGAAAAAATGCAAATCTTCTTTTAGAAATTAAGCTTGTATGAGCGGTGCAAACAGCACCTTTTAAACAGAGCGTGCACGAGGAGAAATGGGCTCGTGCATTCTCTTGCACAGGCATTCCCTCTCGGGATTGGCGCAGGGTTGAGCATGTGCATTTTTTTTTTAAGTTGGAGTTTTAAGTGGCTGGTCTTTTCAAAAATTTGCGAAAATCCTCCACTATACCTTTAAGGGCTAGGGTTGAAAAGCTCTTGTCTGAAAGTATATAGTCAAACCCAGGATTACTCAAAAACATTCAAAATTTAGGTTTCATATAACTGAAATTTTACTTACGTGTTTTTTGTTTTGTTTTGTTTTTTATTCATTGGTAGTACTGTACATTTAGATCAAATCAAAATTAGATTTTGATAGATAATCTGTGAAGGCGGCTAAAAATAACGATAATTAATAGGAAGCTTTCAACTCTCAAAGACGTTAAAAAAACAGCAATAATAAATTGTGGAAACACCAATGAAAGCATGCAAATAAAGATAAATAATGCTCAAATTTTATATCTAAACCTACATATATATATGTATTTATATGATATTATGTGTATATATTTATGTACACAAATTTCAAAAAGTAAAACAGAGCCATTCATTAATTTTGACATGTGGACAAAAGCGGCAGTGGCATCTTTCTTCCATGTTCACCTGCCTTTAAGTGATCCAGCACTTTCCAACAAAGCAACAGTCTAAAGTTGGAGTTGACAACTCACCCCAGGGGTAGATGGACAAAGGAGCAGAGTGTCAAACAGCGCACATCTGGAGTTTTCCACTCTGCCCCACTGTCTGAAAGGGGCTTTTTTGTTTTCAGACCCTAAGTGTAATTGTTTAAAAGCCACGGTGCCCTGATTGCTAAATGGCATTCCTCTGAATTCCACCTGTGAATATCAAAATAGATTTCTTTACTCTTTAAATGCTGATATTTTTTTTGTATGGGCATGTCTGTGTGCTTTCATCCACCCTTTCTGAAGAAAAAAGTTGACTTGAAAATGATCAAAAGTGCGTGCGAGCTAGCTGTTGATCTCATCTTGGAGTCATTGCCTTATTCGGTGTCTTTCTGTTTCACAAAAGATCAAAAGGACCAGGTTGCTTGACCTGCTGACTTGTCTAAGCGAGACAAAGCGACTGACAAAAGGCAGCAGCAAAAGACTTAGAGCTACTCCCTTCATTATGTCCCTACTCCTTCCCCTCCCTAGACAGTGTTTCTTCTTAAGATTGGGAGCCCTGAGAAAGCGACCCGAACACTTTTCGCACTGAAGGATGCCTGTGTCTCAAAGCACCAGCCAAGGGCTCTAAAGCATCAGAGACAAAAGGGAGAAAGGAAAGAACACCTTTATCTGATACACAGATTACTATCGCTCCCCACCCTGCTCTTCCTGAAACTCCTCCCTAATGTATTAACATCTCTGCACCTAAATATTTCTGCACCTAAATGTTTTCCTTTTAAGTTATCATTTCATATTCATGATACAAATATTGAAGTACAGTTTTTGCAGTTCCTGGCAAAGTATAAGAATATGAACAGTTTTTGAAAGAAGAAAAGTTTGATAATGTGGTTGATAAGGGTAATAATGGTTTTGTCAAATCTATATACTTTGAAAATTTTAGATTAGGAGAAATTGTTGGTTTTGATAGGTTTTTTGGCAGTTTTTCTTTTTTATTTCTTTACCCTACTTGTGTTGAATGGATATCTTGTTGAGAAACATTTACATTTTTAATGCACTTCAAGATAATGAACTATTGTTTTAGCAGGTGTACATATGTAAGGTTGAAACAAAATAATAGCTGTACAGATTCCTTTTTTTTTTCTCTGATCACTAAGACTGCTAGAGAAGAGTGAGTGATTAAAAGACTGCGGGGCGGGGGTATAAATCTCCCCAAAAAACAAAAAACAGCCGGCCCCCTTGAGTCCCCCACCCACGCACACCCCTGCCAGGTCTTTAACAGGAGTCCATCTCCCATCGGCAGTAGCCTTGAAGTTGCACCAGCGTCGGTTTTGCTTTCACTGAGCAGTGGGGCGATGACAGCACAGGTGGTCGCCAACATAGACTTAGACTGAATCCAGGAAATAGACAGGACCTTGCTTTTAGATCTGTCACCGAAACAGAGTATGTACATACACACTTGGATAAAAGAGACTAGAAACAGAAGTAAAAAAAAAAAAAAAAATCTTTTTTTTTTTATTATTATTTGGTAAAAGTTTGTGGATTTTCTTTGTGCTTATCTGTGTGTTTGCTTGCGTACATGTGTTATGTACACGCGTTAGTGTCTGTGTGAGAGAACAGACCGATTATGAGAACCTGTGAACCACTGAGTGACACAATTCTCAACACTGTGTGTGCCCTCCCCCACCCTGGGAGTACCATCCTGACATGTAAATGATTCTCATTAAGCATTGGCAACATGTGTTTGGGTTTATGTGTGCGTGTAGTGATAATTTCCTCTGATCTGTTTTCTGACCTGTTTGAAAGAGGATTTTGTTTCAATGCTGTCTGTGGTAAATCCCTTTTTTTATCGTTATTACTACTGTTATTATAATTATTATTATGACACTGCTCCTCTTTTATTGTAAATATTAATGATGTGGACTTACAGTGATAAATACTGCCTTTGTATAACTTAGCAATATGTTAATGTAAATAATGTTTCGTTCATGCTTTTTCTATGAAATTGTTAGTGCAGTGATTCCAACTGGAACAGCCATGTTTTTATACAGTCGAAATAGCTACACAGGTTGTAAAATAAACGTATAACATGGCTGCTGTATTTCTTTTTCCTGTTACTGGTCTCTATTTGTCTTTGCAAATTTTGCATAATTTATTGGTTTAATTTATCTTAATTTATTTTATGTTGCTTTCTTGTTGTATTCCAACCAGCGAGGGCTGTGCTGCATTTAAAAAAAACGGTTTAAAAGGAGTCCGTCTTTTTTATTTTTGAATTAAATAGAAAAAAAATGAAATTGACAGAAATGCTGAATAAAGATCAGGCAGCTACATGAAACTGGGAAGATAAAAAGGGTTTGACTAGGCAGAGGGTGGAGTTAGAAAGCTTGAAACTAGTTTAAAGATTGCTTTTATTTTTCCTCTGAAGATGTTTTATTTTTCCCCCCTGTGTTGCGTTGGCCCACCCTGACAAAGAACCAGTAGTCAAATTGCCTTTTGTGCCTTCACCCTCTATGAACTGAATGTATGTGCAGTATATATGCAAGCTTGTGCTCAATGATGAAAAAAAATAAAAATAAAAAATGAGAGTGAAAAGGTTCAACTTCATCTGGTTTGTTCATTATTTCATAAAGTGTCTGCAGTGTTGTAACAGCCGGATTTACCCTGAAAATCTATTATTTAAGGTTTAATTAAACATGATCCTACATGAGACGTTCTCTATCATCCTTTTTAAGAGTTTTAAGTGGACAAAATCAGAGATTCGGGATTTTTCTTTAAAAATAAATATCTTTTTTTATATTTTCTCACAACCTAACAGCAAAAGAAGCAGCCAGTCTACAAGTTCTTGCTGATCCTGAGCTGATCTGATATGAACTCAGAATGATAATAATAATGAATAATGTTATTAACTTAATTATTAACAATAAAAAAAATGCAAACTAACTTAAAAGAACCCTAACACTGTCACCCCAAACAATTTGGGTAAAGATAACAGACTAACAGAGACAGAAAACGTATCTTTCAGGTTTAAAAGGTGAAACTGTTTGCCTTCAGCTGTGAGATGCTTCAAACTACGATGATATGTGATACAATTGTTTCTTTTTTTTCTTTTTTTTTCTTTTTAATTTACAGATTTCCACAGTGATGTGCAGAATTAAACAAAACAAAAAAAACCCATTTATTGGAATTAGTTTTATGTTTCTGTTAAGTTCCCGAAAAAACTGCCAATTTCTTATTTATGGGTATTTTGATCATGAGAAGCAGCACATTGAAAATCATTACAGGTTTTATAGGGCTGTGATTGTGCTCCTGTTTACTTATAATTATTAGAATTAGGCCACAGATGCTTTGTTTATTCATTTATTAATTTATCTATGTTTTTATGTTTTTTTCTTTTTATAGAAAT